TTGTACACGGGCTTGAGTGAAATCGTGTATTTCTGTACGGTGGGAGTATTCATGTCGAAATGATGGGAAAAACCAACTAAAAAAATAAAGTAAATATGAATTAATGAGAGGAAAACATAATTTTTAGGGTTAATAGTGTTCCACCAACACGTCTTTGTCGTCTCGTGTAATAACCAGAAGGTAGGACGTGTCAGTCTGAAGATATTAACATAATTTACAAATATAGCATTTTTAAAATCTTGTAAAATTATCATTGAGTTCAATTTAAATTGTATCACCTGTAGTGATAGGAAAAAACTGAAGTATTGATATACATGTTTAAAAACCATGCTTGGAATATAATTGTGTAAATATTTATATTTATTTGTTAGATTGTAGATAAAATAAGCTGGATTATCCAAGGGGCTTGGTTTGGTGCTTATTCAACAGACATGTCAGCAGTTGTTTGTAACTCTGTAATTGATTTTATTATCGAATTGTTTTCCTGGACGAAATTGTAAAAAGTTTGTCCTATTATATTCAATGTTTCCTGTTCATTGTCAATTGTTTTAATTTTATTTATTAATGAATTTAACATATTAATATATTTAGAGTCAGCGCTAACTCGATGGGGGTTATCTGTGATTAGAGGGGAGGTTATTGTTCGTGTTTTACGTGGAGGTTCCACAGGGTTTGTGTTTTGAAAATCTATTGGGTTGTCGTTTAGCCTCTGACGTTTCAAATTGTCTGGATTGTATTTTAAAAATTGTTTTTTTCCTGGGTTTCTTGTAATGGCAGTATTATAATGGTAAAAATTATTTTCGGCAGAATCAATATTTAACGATAATTGAGGAAAATCTAGTGCGGAAAATTTATTGTAAATGGAAACCGGAAATAAATTATTCGCTTCCTTGTAGCTAAGCGGTTTGACGGCCATAGCCTCCTTTATTTTCCTTTGTCGAATTGCTTCTGGGCATTCCTTATCTGTTGGAAGGTGAGCGTTTTTGCAATGTATGCATTTGATCGCGTTCACGCATGCCTCTGCGGTATGTTCATTAGAGCCACATTTCATACATCTTCCTTTTCCTCTGAATTTTTCTTTGGTGTGACCATATCTTAAACATTGTTCACAAAGGAGGGGCTTAAAAATATAGGGGTAAGCTTTTCTTGGGGCTAAGTTAAGGGCAATGCTGTCAGGGAGTCGCTGAGCGTGAAAAACAATTTGGATGGTACCCGTAGCTATAGTAGTTACAGTATCGTCGGAATTTTTAATTTTTCTATTGAAACGGCGAATTTTGACTATTTTTTCGGTTGATTGAATTTCACTCAGAATTTCTTCTTCAGATAGAGATGGGTGTACGTCTCTAAATATTCCGTATTTTAAAACGTATGAGTTCGGTATAAATGCTTTTAGTTTATTAGATTCAAGAAATTGATTTTCTAAAAATCGGTTGGCATATTCATAAGTTTTAAAAATAACTTCAATTTGTTGTTTATTTTTCTTTTTAATAGAAAAAATGTGAGAGTTATTTAAGCCTAGAGTTTTTCCAATTTTCATATCATGAAAGCATGGTATGTTTTCATCAGTCGATTTTTCAACTAAAACAATGAAGGGGCCTTTAAAGTTCTGCAAGTATTTATGTTGATTTTTTCCATTATGTACTACCTGTGAGTTTAATGGTTTATCAGGGGGCTCAGTTCCCACGCTACTTTCCCCCATGATCACAAATAGGAGTGATATTAGTTGATAATTTGAAGTAATATGAAAATAATATAAATTAAAGAGAAAATAAAATAGATAAATCTGGCCTGAATGTAGCTAGCCGCAGGCTTCTGAGAAGTTGGGGCTGTCCACAACGGCCTATTATCCTCGCACTAAAAGGATACCGCCACTTCAAACGGATAAACCGCGATGTTAACACTACCACTGTTCGAGGAAAACTGTTAATATTTACTTCTTAAAAAGCAAAAAACTAAGAGAGAAAAATATAACCTATGCATGCACTATGACACCATAAGATCATATGAACGTGTGCATTTATATATTAAAAGAGTCGAGTCAGCTGGCTACAATATCACAATTTATGTAAATATTCTCAATTCAGTTGGTATTGAAAAATGTAGGCATATACACACAAATTTTATTAATAACCTACAGGAAATAATTTTAAAGTCTTTGAAACATCAATCTGCATTTTAATGCTACCACTACATTTGGGAACTAATTGCGTAATTGAGTTCATTTTATTTTATTTTATTTTATTCAAATTACTCGCAAAGACGTGTAATCTCCTGTATCATCCAAATATAATTAAGAAACTCAATATCTCTAATAAGACATTTTAGCGAGAATATTCAACATAAATTTTAGGACTAGAAACGTTTATTTTGTCACTCACAAATACAGTTCGATTCCTATATTAGAGATCTGGGTGAAAAACATAGTTTATGGCCAATTTATCAAAAAAATATTTGAAAAACCAGTATATATTTTATGAATAAAATGTTTTTGTTTTTTTTCTCTTATGCCAGTCGTTGGTCATTTGGCCATCCGACATCTTGCTGCTCAGTAAAATTTAGACTTTCTAATATATATATATATATTTGAAAATATTTTTTCTCTTATGTCCCTCAAGGCAGGACATGCGTCTAGATGGTCTGCATCCATTGTTCCTTGATGACACAATTTACAGCTAGGATCCTCAGCCACGCCTATCGTGTAGAGATGACTACAATATAGGCAACAATGAATAAATGTGTGTTTAGGCAATTGGGTTTATTAAAATACATCTCAGATCATGGAAAAACAAGAAATAAAAGCTTTGCAATGATTAATTGTAGTCATTTTTGCTGAAAAAAGGGATACTTTTACTTGACAGGATAAAAAATATCATCTTTTTTTTTTCCAAAACTTGAACCCTGGTTTAGGTTGTTATCAGTTATTGGGAAGTAATAGGGTGAAGTTAAGAGCCAATGGAAACGATCCTTGCTCAACCCTGAATATTTGTTTATAATATGCCGTGAAGTAAGAAAACAGGGCTCATGTGGATGTCCGGCCTTGAGAATAGATCTGTTAATGTCCGGACTTGAGGATAGGTCTTATGTTTTCTTCCGGCTTGGGAAATGACCCCTTGGCCATACATAGACCACACAGATGGGCTTCTTGGAGAAGTTTTTGGACCTCACCTTGAAAAGATGACCTCAGATCAGCGGATGCAGCAATGAAATCTACTACCGACATACTTCACATATCATAATAGCTAAGTTGTAATTCCCAATTCTGATGTTATAATATTTCATGGCAAAAATTCTCAAAACAGTCCATCTGCAATCATGCCTTCACAGTTAATTATTAAATTCATTGAATCACGTAATCTGTTCTTGTAAATATAATCTATATATATTATTTATCAAACATAGAAATAAATTAAATTTTTTAGTAAAAGTTATTTTAATTCTGCCACCTATTTATATCATGATGATCACAGAAAATGTGTGTAATTAGAAAGCATGATAAATACAAACCAGCCTTTGAGAAAAGAAATCCAATTAATTAATTCTGAACCAATCAATATATTATAGATCCAAATTTATTTTACTAATTTTTATTAAATAATTCTGGATAATTACCCTTAATAATTATCCAGTGGCATTCCGAATAAAATTAAATACTCCAAACATAGCAATTTTTAACATTTCAATATATATTTATATATAAAGGATGTCGCCCCATAAGTAGACGAAAATATTTAAAAGGTTGATTGTAGACATGAATATCTACAAAAAATTTCATAGAAACAATTCTCCAAATTCCAGAAGAAAAGTAGACAATTTAAAAGATTTACAAAGAGAAGAATAGTTGGGGTGGTCAGTCAAAAAGGAAGGCAAAAATAAATGATAATATTTATTTTTTACATATGCCGACGTTTCGACCTGAAGTTCAGGCCTTTATCAGGGCTAAGAAAATAACCAGATAACAAGGTATGAGAAACATAAGTAGTGATGGTAAAAAAGATAATAAAAAATAAAAAAATAAAATAAAAAAATTAGAAAAATAAAATAGATAAATATAAAGTAAAATGAAATTGTTAGAATAATGACTAAGAACTAAGAGATAAATAATAAAAACCGTTACAAAGTGTGGAATGATGAAGTAGGCATAATCAAAAAGGGTGACAAAAGTGTTACAATGGGAATCTTAGAATAAAGTGTAAAACATAAAAAAGAAATATGAAGTTATATAAGAAAAAAAAATAAATAGTAAAATTAAAACATTGAGAATGGAGTATTTAGATAGAAAATTGAGATTTTAAAGTAATTAAACATTGATCCATAATTAACTAGATAAAATTAAATTTAAGGAGCTTCTGGTATCTTGATTTAATATGCTTAAGAACCATGTAAACTACCAATTTTAACACCAAAACTTTATTGAATATTCTCGCTAAAATGTCTTATGAGAGATGTCGAGTTTCCTTATTATATTGGGACGATACAGGAGATTAAGTGTCTTTGCGAGTAATTTGAATAAAATAAAATGAACTCAATTACGCAATTAGTTCCCAAATGTAGTGGTAGCATTAAAATGCAGATTGATGTTTCACACTAGCGGATCCAGAATTTAATTTTGGGGGGGGGGGGGCTTCAGCCCGAAATCTTTTTTTTTTCATAAAAATAACGATAATTACTTTGGAAAAACAGAAAGAAACTAACTACCTATATGAAATGGTGTTTAAGTGATTCCTTAAGTGATTTTAAATGTAATTACACGAACAATAATACTTTAAGAGGTATTTAAAAAAAAAATTTCCCATAAAACATGGTTATATTTTTCCATTTTGGGGGGGGGGCTTCAGCCCGAAAGCCCCCTCCCCCCCGTAGATCCGCCCGTGATGTTTCAGAGACTTTAAAATTATTTCCTGTAGGTTATTAATAAAATTTGTGTGCATATGCCTACATTTTTTTACTTTTCTCAATATCAACTGAATTGAGAATATTTACATAAATTGTGATATTGTAGCCAGCTGACTCGACTCTTTTAATACATAAATGCAATGTAGTTATTTTCGTCACACGACCCAAGTTCAAGTCAGACATATTAAACTTTTGGTGAGTAGAAAGGAAAAACGAGATAATTCAAACAACAAATGTCAACCAAATCGAAATAAGAGGCTTTCTCCTTTCGCTAGGATGGTAAGTGGGTAATTAGTTACTTCTTCGTAATTTAAAGGTAAAAAAAAAAAAGTTCAGACCTGGAGGTGGTGTCTTATTTTCTTTCTTCTAATTTTGTTTGGAAAAGAGATGAAAACTGTTTAAATTGAACAGAATTTCAAAATTAAATGGGCGACTAAATTCCAATCAATTTCATTTTGGTTTTATTGGACATTTCATAATTTGTTTACGGATTTTATTTATCGAAATGCAGCGGGGTACGAAAACATTCTAGACCCCGAAAGGCCAACTTAATTACATAGAAAATTTCAATCCTCACATTTTGATTGACTGGACAGGTGTGAAAAACTTTAAAGCCGTAAAAAACAAAACAAGAAAAAAAAATGAATACAAAAAAACGAGATTTATCCAAATATTTATGGTATTTTCCTGGCAAGAAGAGAATCCTACATACCAAACTTGAGCTCATTTGACCCAAATAATGCAACTATGTTTATGTGTGACTAAAGATGCAAAAATGAAACACAACGTAATTCAAAATCTGGTACATCAGCATAGCCTATTTTGAAATATATTTTATTTATCAAAATACTTATGGTAAAAATACGTTTTCAAAACGTTTATGATTGAATAAAACTATAAATTATAGGAAGAAAGTTAGGCAGGGTTTCGTTCCTGCAGTAAAGTTGAGAAAATCAAGTTAGGAGGTGTTAGAACTTCTATGACGTCATTCAACTTGGATAAAATAACAGAGAGGTAACTTTCGCATTGCGTGAGTAATTAACCAATTCTCTGCCAAAAAAGACAGGTAATCTAATGGTGTAAACAGATCGATCGTAACTGGATAACCTTGTTGACTAATGACAAGATTGTTTTGGTTTATGGGTTCAGAAGTGAGTATTCGTGAATTTTTGAGTCCGAAAAGTATTGTAAATAAAGTAATGACAACACAGGTTAAAAGTTTATTTTAATCGTTTCAATTCTCATTAATTTTGAAGCTTAGTTAAGTTAATAATTTCAAATGGGACTGAATCTAAATAAGATACAGGTACAAATTCCCATTCGAAACTCAAACTTCATAAAATTGAAACTTTTCAGCTGTATAATTGCACATATGATAATAAACACTGTTTCATCATGGATTTATGAACTCTGTCAAGGGGGCTCCCAAAATCAATTCAAAATTATGAGAGACTCATAACATATAACTCCTATCCAACCCACTCTCAAGACACATCATGTCTGATCCACCCTTTTCGGCTGAAGAAAGGCTCAAAGAACTGAAGGAGACATATTTCAAATTATTTTCGGAACGTGAATCTGCTAAAAAGTATGTATTTCCTTCGGATGATTATCTACTGCATTACAGGCGATTATTTCCAGTTCAAAGCACCAGCCACCAAAATAACCAAGAGTAAGTGATCTACTTAATTTTAGAATACGCTTTAAAACTGAAATTATTATTACTTTCACTTACCTATATATGTAATATATAGTAAGATAAAGTATTGCAATCGCGAACATAATCTGGGATTTCAACAGAAATACACGTTTTGAGGTCTCTTGAGTCCAAATAACCAAGTCCCGCGGAGAATTTTAGAAAAAATAATATCAAATAAATAAAGTTGTTGAAGGTAACGTGAGTGACGAAAAAAATATAGATAATAATTTCAGAAAACTAACATTATTTGTTTACGTAAATACGATAACGGAAATCACATGTTTCCAAGGAAATTAAATGATATTTTCTTACTAAATGTAAACTTATAAAAACTCAACGAATCAAGCCACTGCCATAGTTTAAAATACTATTTCATTGTACTTGTGTGAAAAAAAGTGAAAAATAAAAATATTTCATGAATATGTTCATAACCTTAAATACATTTACTGTAGTTTAATAACTCTAGATATGATATTATATTTAAATAATTAGGTATCTATTGGCCGTTGATTACAAAAAATCATGAAGTAACCTTTTAGAAAATTAAATTAGTAAATAATATGATGAATTTTCCCTTTGTGAAATCCTAACATTATTCACTTACAATTAGCGTGACAACTTTTGACATATTTGACAATGAAAATTTCGTAATTTCATTTTAGTAAACATTACAATAGAAAATAACAGTTTAATAACTAATAGTCCGACAATTGATAATCTTTTATAGGTTAAATATTCAGATATACTTTCAAATCTCTCTAGCTATATATGAGCCTTTCGGTTGAGAGAATGACTAATTTCAACATACTTTATTATTAATTTTAGTAATGTTTCCATATTTCAACACTGCAACCATCAACTCTGGAATCAACTTACTCACTGTCTGTACAGATAAAACTTTTCCAAATAGAAATATCACTAAAATGACATTACTCAAAATTGTTGAAGTTGGAGCTAGTCATTATGTCAACTGAGAGGCTCAAGAGACTAAAGTTGTGTGGTTTATAAAAGGAGGTGGAGTAACTAGATTTTTATTGCCTACCGTCAAAGTACTAAATAGAGTTTTTGTAATTTTAATGGTCTTAATGATTTGTTATCCGTAAGTTTTGATATTTAGTTCCGTTTAAAATCCACTTCAAAAATTTTATAATAGCCCAACATTTCAAAAAAATAATTTCTATTCAAAATAAAGTTGTGTAAGTAAGTGAAAGTTGTGTGTTGCGCGCACCAGATTTTTTTGTAAATATATTGAACTCCGTTATCCTCAGCACTGTTCTAATCGGTATAAAGGATGAGATAAAATGATAAGAGTAATGTTTATAAAAACATAACCTCTGTAATGTTATCAAAGCACAATGCTATTGTAACATTTCTCGTTGAGTTCCAACATAAATTTTCATTATCATCAAGATCCGATTTTACTGTTCCTAAACCCCGCATGATCTTGAAGAACTAAAAAGGTATATGACCCTTGCAGTTTGATGGTAGTCGAATCTCGTGTTGGTAAACCTATTACAAATATCAAATCGATTATTTTAGTCGATAATATAGGATTTATTGAACTATTTTTTAATTAGGGTTAGATTTCAACTGTTATAATAGTCAAAATCTACACAATGAAGTGAAGTTTTTTCTTACTGCCGAAAAATGATAGAATGAAAACAGAGAAGTACTTGTCGCATTTCACAATAATTCCCTATAACAACAGAAATTTCAGGTAGGTCAAGTAGTCATTTTAAACTAGGTCTTTATATGTAAAAACCCGTGAAATACGTTTTATCACAAAACCGAAATGTTCAATGCTTCAATGAGGGTTTACCTTAATTAAGAATTTATAGAAGATTATAGTTCCTTTAAGTTTTCTGGAGTTGTCATTATGAATGTCAACTTTGTCTTTATACCCTGCATTAATCGCATATCCATGGCCTGAATCTGACTGATGTGTTTTGTGGTGAGGGTCCATGACTCGCTGGATGTAGGTCATTATCGGGAGAAAAGTATTTTTGTACACGTTCGTTTTGCTCTCCTTGCTCACGTCTCTCTTGTTCAAGAATCCGTTCTTGATGGCGTTGAAGCACCTTCCTGCAGACTTCACTTTTTCCTTTATTTCTCCGACGATCCATCCATGTTCATTGATGTGGGCACCGAGGTATTTAAAAGTTTTCACTTGTCCCAATGGAACTTCATTTAAGTGCACTATTCTGCCTCCCCATCCTTATTTTCTGCCAATCCTCATAGTTTTGGTTTTTTTCACATTCATTTCCATATTTTTCTTATGCAATTCTTCCTGAAGAATATAGAGGTTGAATTGCAGGTTTTGCCCATTGCTTCCGAAAACCACCAAATCGTCTGCATAAGCTAACAGAAAGAAAAATACAGGCTATAGATTTCTGTATTCCACTTGATATGATCTCATATTTTATTTTGTAATTTTTATTGCATTGTCTAGCATTAGCGTAAATAGCAGAAGACTTAGACTGCACCCTTGCCTAATACCTTGATTAGTTGTGAACTCTTCTGATATATTATTACATGTTCTCACAACATTTCTTTGATTCTTATAGAGACTTAGGATTGCCTTACGAAGGCCCGTTTCGATGGCTTTGTCTTCGAAGCCTTTTGCTATGTCTTTCTTCTTCACTCGGTCAAATGCCCTTGTGAGGTCTACAAAACAAGCATATATCTCTTTGTCCCTTTCTATTAATTTTTCAGAAAATTGTCTTAATGTAAATATGGGATCCTGGGTACTTTTATTTGGCCTAAATTTAATAAAATTTGTTCGTATTGTTCTTCACTCAGGGAGGATCCTACTGTTCTTCGTAGACGTCTCTCTAAATTCTTTGCGTATATATTACTCAGGACACTAAGAAGTGATGTCCCCCGGTGGTTTTACCATTCTCTGTTGTTCCCTTTCTTAAATATTGGGACTATAACAGATAATTCCCAATCCTTCGGAATGTTCTTTGTTTTCCACATGAGGTTTAGAATATGCTGGAATATTTCTATCTATCTACCTATCTATTCCTGCTGCTCTTCCTGGTTTCAGAGACACTATAGCATCCACAATTTCTTCGTCACTGAAAAAATCTTCTTCCAACTCGATCACGTTCGACCGTCCAGCTTCCAGATTTTCGTCCAAAAGTTCCTTGAAATATTCAGCCCATCTCTGCATGATTCCTTCATTGCCTGTTAGTACATTTCCTTCCTTAAATCCTTAATTCGCTTGAGAACAGGTTCTTTCTCTTCTCAGGTTCTTGAGTATGTTTGGAAGCATTCTGTAGAAAAGCTACTGATTGTTTCGGAAATTGTCTTCCATTTTTCTTCCAAAATCTTCTCACGTTTTTCTTTTTTCTTCTATGGCCTTGTCTTTCACTTTTCGTTTTTGAGTTAGGTATTTTTAGTAATCTTTATGGTAATTCGATTTCATATATTGCTTCCAATACATCTTCTTTCGGTTGGCTTCCTCTTTGACCTCTTCATTCCACCATGTGGTTCTCTTTAGTCTTTATCCGATATTTATTTTTCCACAAGTTATTTCTCCTGAGTCCATCAGAATTTTCTCAAAGCGGATCAACCTGTTTCGACGTTGTCCAAGTCCCATGGGTATATTCTACTAAGAACCTTTTCTTCTATTGTGTTCTGATAGACAGTTGCTATTCCTTCGTTTTTGTAGGCATTTATCTTTTGTTCTGTTTGATGCCTTTTATTTTATTTCCTTAGTAAAACTTTATTCAGACTGATGTCTATCAACAAAAGCCTGTGATCACTGCCAATTTCTGCGCCTCTCTATTGCCTATCGTTTCGTATTTCGTATAGTCAGTTCATTAATTTTGTATTTTATCGATAATATTCCGAAAAGAACGCAGGCAGCATCATATGATATTGTGTGAAAGGCTCTACTAATTTTTATTTACTCTACCAATTAATCGTTACACCCTTTCTAATTTGTTAATGTTCACTTGTTTAGTTGTTCCTGATACCAAGGCGAGAACAGCGTAAAGAAGTCAGGAACTATTGCACCTTCGTGTACAATTCTTAAAGCTTCTGCTTTCAGTCCCCACGTTTGCCTGGCATCAATCGTTAGTACGTTAATTTTCTTCAGTGTTCTATTTGCTACTGTGTCGATATGAGTCTTTCAGCTAAGTTTTCTGTCAAATGTTACTCCTAAATAAGGCATAGTGTCTGTATGTGATAGTGATTTAGAATTTAGCTCAATATCAAGCTGCGGTAATTTTTGTTTTTTGCTGGACACTGTATAGGTAGTCCTGTTGGAGTCAAACCCTAGTTTATTTTGTTTAGCCTATTTTTCCAAAAGTGTTAGTGCATGGTTTGTCAGTGCTTGTAGTTGAGTGAAGAGCTTGCTAGTTACAAATATCACTACATCATCAGCATACAGAAATATTTGTACATTTTTAGGATTTTTTATATCAAAAATTGAGTTTATTAGTATATTCTACAAGGTTGTTGAAAGACATGAGCCTTGTGGTGATCCAATAGTCTGATTTCTTGGTATTTTGTAATTATTGGTTCTAATTTCCATGGTTCTGTTTAACAAAAAGTTGGAGATCAACAAGAATATGTTTTTGGGACAGTGATAATTTCGAATATTTTGAAAAATGATTGGCATATATACATAAAGCTTTCGGGCTTAAGTCTTCCCCAAAATTAAATCCTCGATCAGCTAGTGACCGAAGTTAAACAGATAAATAAATCGTGAATGGGCTATTAATTCCTTGTGCTCGTTATTGATTTAAGCTTTTATAAGCTTCAGTTTATTTTAAATATTCTGCGCTTTGTACTTTAAAAATCAAAGTAAGGGGATAAATTAAAATAAATTAAATATAATTTATTTTATTTTAAATTATAATAAGACTTTTCCAATATTTGTATACTTCAATAATATACATTATGTCTTTATACGTATTATGTATCTGTATCTCATCATTCCTGTAGGGAGAGAAAAGATATAAAAGATGAAGTCGGTTATAGAGGATCAGTTAATGAAGCATTCCTTTATTCATCGAGGACTCTTCCCAAGGTAAGGTTAAGACCTCTATTAGAAGACGTTAACCGAAAAGGGTCCATGGAAAAGAGAAATTTCATGTTGCAAAGGATGGACGAACTAGCAGGTTCAAGACCCGCAAAAGTAATGGATTATGTTAAGAAGCAATATCCTAGTTCGGTAAATAAATTAATTGAGTATATTTACTTGTGTAAATGAGAACAGTTCAGTTGGTATCAGATCAAGTTTTTTTTATGCATATTGCAGTCCGTTTGGTTGTTAATTGTTCGGAAATACCAGTTTGTTTTTTTTTTTTGGAGAAAAGTTTATATTTGTAGTCTTAATGATTCTTCGATTTCTTATTACTATTACTTGTGAATCATTTTATTTGTAAAATGTTTTACAACACAAATGCCTTATGTTAAAACGTTTGCACTTGTTAATACGAACTAGAATTATATTTGAAACTTTAAACTACTCTATTGAAAAATCTGAGTTACCTTTATTTTCATTAACACTACGAATGTTAAGTAAATATAATTAGAATTTCAATGCCTAGATAAACAGAATGTTTGTGCCAAGATAAATGATTTAATATAGTACGTAGTACAGAACCCTTTTTATTAAATTATTAACATCCGCCTGAAACTTCATGAATAGCTTCATCTCATCGTAACCTACAAATATTTTATTTATGAAAATTCTCGGAAGTGGGGCGTTTTCAATCTGGAGATCGTCAAAGTTTGGTAGGTATTTAAAACTCGTAAATACCCATTTCCTTTCCACTTGAATCGTAAGATAATAATTTGAGTGCAAACTGGAGAAAAATGAGGAGGCCTTCAGAGCGAACTACACTCCCAAAGTGTCAAAATAATGTGATTGTACAGGCCAAACGGTTCAACCTTTTTTCTCAGCTTTGTGATTAAATTATCTTACTATCCAAGTGGAAAACAAATGGGTATATATGAGCTTTTATTACCTCATTAAATAGACAAGGTTTGCCGACCTCCAGATTGCAAACGTCCCATTTTCGTAAACAGTTTTAGGTTACTATGAAATGAAGCTATTCACGAAGCTTCAGGCGGATGTTAATAATTTGGTAAAAAGTAGGTATGTACCACGGACTAATAAGTTTCTGCCTGTTATCATTTTATGTTTTTAATTGTGTATTATTGCATATTATTTTAAAATATTGTGCAAGAGTTGCCAGAAACAATGAATTTTCAATCCCTGTCGGGATGGAAAATTCGCAGGAGGTGATACCAGAAAAAGATGAGAGTTCCGTCAATATTGAGCAGAGGGGTTCATCGGTGAGAAAAAGAGTTGTAACTATCTCCAAGGATCCTCGAATCATCTCTAGAGTAAGCTATGATGGTCACGTAAGTAATAAGATTTCTATATTTGAAAATTTAGACGAAGAAGAGGGGTTTGGAAAAGCCACTAGTTGCTGCAATGGTAACTGCTTGTAATAATTAATAACTTGTAAGGCAATCTAGACTTTTATGATAAATTAATTTATTTTTTAGAAAAACGCGACGGAATGCTTCTTCAGTTTGACGACTATAAATTAACCAAATTTCTTTAAGCTATTTTAACTTTTAGATCACACTTCAGCTTGTTATTAAAAAGTCTTTCTCTCGGAGGTACTAGGGCATATCGTCTTTTTTTTCAAAAAACTGATCTAGAAAAAATAACTCGCAGTTCCCTGTGAGAAAACTTCTCTTTTATCGACTGCAATATGCTTAAATATTTTTTCTTGCGCTTTATCTATAGTAATTGCAAACTATATTTACGAGTTTAAATGCCTACAGTTTTCAAGTTCCATTCACCTTTATTTTGACTACTCCAATTCTATAAATTGTAGCGTGATGCTATTATAATCTTTTCCTCAATAAACGGACGTTTATACTAATGCAAAAAGATTTTTTTAAATCCGCACCTTTAGAGCAACAATTCTTATGCATCATATAGAAGTAAAGATAAAAGTTGAAGGCCGTTGCTGAATTAGAGCTTATACGTTGGTTCTAATCCCAGAATTTTCAAGCAAGATCGTAGAACCATAATCACTGTGTCTAAAAATATAAAATTTCAACAAACATTATAATCTGCGAGGAATGGTGATAAATAAAGACTCGACATAATTTAAAGTGTGATTTTTATTGTAAAAAATATATTATTACTTACAGGACGACAGTTCAGGAAATACATTCTTTCTTCTCGGAGATGTGCATAGGTGTATCAAAGAATATCTTGTAGCAAATGGTTGGATAGAAAAATTTTGTAAGTATTCAAGTTGGCTGTCACGGTAATGTTTATGTTAGTATCTTGAAAAATATCTAAAGATATGACATAATTAGTCAATTTAAATATTTTTTTTAAATTTTATTGATAATGGAAATTTTGAGGATACAGTCATCATTAAAGTATGGCGAAGGAAGTGTGTGAAGAAGTTATTCGAAATCCTGAATATCTTTGTCTTAGATTTTTAAAGCTATTATGTAAAAGTTACAAGTTGGATTGTGAACTAATTGTAAGTTAAAATGAGTTCGTTAATCGATGGTGTTAAGATCTAAGGTAAACTGGGCTTGAACCGAAAAGGATAAATAGGCTAGGTAGTTGGGGAAAGTTTCGCATTTTTTATTCTTTCCTGGCACGAGGACTACTAAAACTTGCGATAAACTTCTGCAAAACCTCTTCCTCTGACTCACTTATTTGATTAGAATACTTTTAGCATTTCGTGCTTCAGTTATAACACACGAGTTTTATGATATTTATTTTCATACTTTCAAATGGTAACACCATCACAAGTTGAAAAGTGAAAAATAGTATGTTTAATTAATATTTATTTTTCAATTGCCAATATCTTGGGACGCCATGTTATTTCATAATGAGCGGAAATTTCATTATCATATCTTAAAATTATGAATCACATTCGTTTTAAGAAAGAAAATTAATACGTTTGTGACCGTCCTTATTGCACCAGTTTTAAATTTCGAATTTTTTTAAAATTCAACTTAAGCTATCGTTACTTTAATTTAAAGAAAATAATCACATCTAAAGGTATGCTTATGTCTCGCATTGCACTCTATTAGAAAATATATTCGAAAAAATTACATGGAATAAAAGGAGAATGTTTATGTTGATGCTTTTCTTAATGCTCCAACGTTAAAATACTATATACGATCTGATTCTAAGGCTGTGGTTATACTGGATCCGGCACGATACGAAACGACGGCTCTACTGTTAAACTCAAAAACATAACGTATGAATCGCTTTCATTCATCTTTTAGTGATTATCATAGATTTAATTGTATTACGTGCACCCAATATACATAAAAAAAACCATAATCATAAATTGTAATTCATAGATAAATTTGTTAATATTTGGACACTAACCAGCAACACAGAGTTGGCCATGGGAGAAAGAAGCATTCGGTTTCACTTACTTAAATCCCCGCAGTTGACAGGGTCTGGCCTTGGGACTTGTTCACAGTCATGTCAAAGCAGACGCTGATAGGAAACTGCAATTGTTTAAAATGAAACGAGTAGTTACTTGGAATCAGGTGTGTTCGTGGTATAAATAAGGATTCTCCAGTTCCACACCCGGTCATTATATTTGTCTCTATAATGTTGAGCCGTGAGCCATTGCACAGCTTTGGGGTGCTCAAGTTTCTAAGGAGCATGATGGGTGATCCTACCTTGAGAATTCATTAGCAGGCAGTCCAGAAGCAGTCACGGAGTCAAGAAATCCAGTGGGATAATTAACTGCATCATCCTTATTGAGTACAGTATTGAGTGATTTGTAGATTCTGTCTTCGGATTGGAAAAATATAGAATTTTCATATTTATCTGGACTGCCTGCTCATTTTATCGAGTTAGGATTACGCTCTCACAAAGCCAGGAATTTTTTATTGTTTGCAAGTTAGTAACTTCAGGAAATACCTTCTGAATCAAATCTTGTTGGGAGTTCACAACAGTGCCTAATGTTGGAGAGATGGAAATAAGACCTCCAATTTCCTCCATTGTGCCATTGCCAACCCTCATCAGCAGCTCTGAGAACTCTTGCGCGGCGAGCTCGTTGCCAAGTTGAACTTTCATGTTAGCTGTAAGAAATAATCGATCAGTGTTGGCCAAATATAGGATCTTTTTAATGACGCGTGCACCTCATCAGCCCTAGTACCCCTGGTAAAAACGGCAGGGTTTGTCGAAAATCTCCAATAAGCAATACATTGAATCCCCTCATGGTCAAAGTACTGTCTCAGACATATTTTAAAGTTCGGTCCAATGCCTCTATGCAGGTTTTATGCACTCATCCCACATCATCAAACAATAAGCATAAAATTCACAGGCCGATTTATTTATTTTTTTTTTGTTATTGGGACGCCGGTGGATGGATTTCTTGGTATATATTGAAATTATAACCGTCCTCTTCACGGAAACATATTAAAGGGTATTGTAGGGCGTCATAAGAACGGTGTGTCCCACATATTCTGCTTAAATCCTCGGACCTAATTCTTAGGACAATATCCCACCTATCACTGGTTTCTCCAAGCATTTCAACAACCACTTCAGTAACTGTGAGCTCATTGAATTGTCCAGCAGCCGTAGGTTTGGTCTGAGAGTCTTCTGTTTGAGGAAATGAGTATTGCTTCTCTTATTTTATTTCTAATCTGAATTAATAAACTACAATACCATTAAGATTGCTGGCATTTAATATTAAAACTCAAATACAGGGGTGCTCATCCCTCCAAAGGTCGATGGTGCAAGAACCTATCCTCCCCACTCTCAAAATATTTTATTGCTCAAGTTTTTTTTAAAAACAGATTAAACGAAGGTAGAATTAGAAAAACTGTGGATCATATACAATTATTAATATACTTGCTGCGGTCTGTTCCATGTTTTCATATTGTTCCTTAGTATGGAAGTTTATTCCGAAAATTCATAAGCCCCCAAAATTTGCGCCCCTCAAAAATTCAAAAACCCGCCAAAATACGCCAACCTCAAAAGTTTTGGTGGCGCAAATTGCACCATCAAACTCTCTTCTGGTTACTCCTGCATAGGTAGGTAAGCTGCAACCATTATTAGACAGTCTTAAGGAAAACATCTATATTTTACTTATCCCGCTAGTATTACTATCTGGTAATATTAAGATATAAAATTTTAAACCTCAAATCCTTATTTTTCAAAACGCCATAAATATTTCATGAAAGTTTATCGAATTCGAATTTTATACCTTTATCTGCCTAAATTAATCTCGATCCTTTAATTTTGATTAATAATATACGAATTTCTTATTAAATATCAAGTCAATCCGTCACAAGTTCTATGGTCACGTCAAAATATCTTGGGAGGAGGGAGGGTAGGTTCTTGCGCCATTGGCCTTGGGGGGGAGGGGAGGGAATGGAAGCCCCTGTATTATCCATCTTACAAATTTTTGATTCAAAGATTTTCGATCAAGAGGATCTAGATCACTATAAAGGTTAACCTATAACCTTAATAGCTTAGTAAGCTATGATATGAACTATTAGTAAGAAATTTGGAAATTAGAATGATTTGTAGAAAAAACATCAAATAGCTTAGTAGTTCACTATTTTAACAGATTTTGATAGACAACTTTTTTCGTAACTTCAAATCGGCATTCAATTTGTTACTAAGCAAGGCAATCCCAAACTTCTTTCACTTATATTTATGGTTGGGAGGAGGCGCCAAAATCTTTTTCAACAATGTAAAAACTATTTTAAAAACTACAGTTGATAAGACAATAGGATCAGTATGATGGGGTTGTATGACATAATCACTAGTGCGGTCTCCCTTCTCGAAGGCGGGCAAGAAGAGAGGTCCCAGATGATCCGCTGCCTCCAGGGGCTTCCTACCAGCGACAACAAAACTCTGGGCAGGCTGCTAGCCACGGATCCGATCAAGTTCATCTGGGTCAACGGCTTCATCAACTGGTCACTCATCAACAACAATGTCATCGTCAGCAGGATTCCATCGTCCAGTTACTATTTTTCAAAGGTAAGACTTGTTATGATTCAGTTGATGATAAAAAAAAAAAAAGTTTCAAACAAATATTTAGTTTTATTGTAAAATTTCATTTTACAATATTTTTTAAAGATAAGGTTTATAGAATTTTTCGATTATGACTGTGATTATACAAAAAAAAAAAAAAAAAAATCAAACTTATACAGGAGATGGTCGTATAACCAATGAATATGGCATAGGAAAAAAAAAAATAAAATTTTTCGTTTATTTATTTGGTTGAAAAATACATATGGGACCATTACATTTCATGAAAAAAAACAACTGAGTTTTGGAAATAAATTTATTTTCATACCATTTTTTTAAATGTATTGGATTAAAAAAAAAAATAATTGCTCCAATGAATTTGTTATATTTATACGGGAATCGACAGGTATCTCGATTTTCTGAAAAAATCGCTTTGGAAATAAGCCACGTGTCTTATGAATCTTAGTGGAAAAATTACAAGGCGGCAGGACAACCAACGACTGGAATATCGCACGAGTGTATCAGCACTCTAGCTCAGGCATATCAAGATGCATACAAAGAACATCACGTAGTTGTTCTCTGCATAAAGATAAATTTATCATCCGATATTTGGTGCATAAAGAGATAATTGACCGATGATTATAGCATGCGTAAGAAACGTGCACCAAACAATCACAGCATCATTGAAACTGGATTGAATAAATATGTTCACAATACTCCACTCAACATATTCCATATTACTCCACCCCTAGTTGACATAGTACAAATTATGTCAGAGATTAAAATATAACTGTCAAATAAATCTTGATCACAAATATTAAAACTTCACTAACATATGTTTATTATTAATCAAAAATTTTGCTTTACTACTCATAAAATTCACAATTACATTCGTATAACAACTCAAATACGCCATTAAACATAAGACATAATTGGACGGAAAGTAAAAATAAATATATTACATAAAACATGTCAAATAAGAACAAACGAAATATGAAAACTAGTCGTGATATCAGAAAAACTAGACTTATTAATAATGAAAAGTATGATATTTCCGAAGATAGGAAAGTCAAGACAGCAGAAAGGCGGTTTAAGGTTAGTTCAAAAAGAAATGTCCCGTTTCATTTATTTATTAGATACTTCTCAATGTCTCTAAATTCAATTATATTCAAAAACTGATAATATTTTTCGATGGATTGCATTAAACATATGATAAATATCAATATCACATCTAACACTAAATCATTGTTTACATACTTACAGAATACAACGCAAAACACAATACCATTGTAATTTGGGTCTCATACAAATTCAATTACACCACATTAAACCTACATTAACTTTAAAATGCAGTCTACAGCAAGAGCACATTACTGGCACTACAATCGATATACATTTAACGGAAGCGCTATGGGCAATAAAGCAAGTATTAATGATTTTTTAGGAACATGTAAATTAAACGTGGTGGTAATGTTCGACATTCGAAATGGCAACTTTCTTTGAATAAATACATGGTAAAATTGTCATCTTAAAGTTAACTATGGACATTTGTCTGTTCAATCTATTCTGGAAACAAAACCTTACAGCAATGTCAATCTTGGTTGGTCCGTTCATATATTTCTAGATCTGTTACCCCTTCTCTAACCGATTTATTCGGGTACTATCCTAATTACTTACATTAGTAACAAGCTAGAAGCGAGTCCTCCAACATTACTTTGGAGCTCATCTTAATTGATAAATAACCAAAATGTAGACTTATTTACTCGTACTTAAATTCTATGTTTTGTAGTTCTAGTATTATTGGATTCTGAGAGCAAATCTGAGGCATCCATTAAGATAACCTAAATTATTTTATTACCTGCCGATTCAAAATTTCTTGTTGACCATGCTTAACTGTCCCTAGTACATAATATCAGGTGCAATGCATGATGCTTAACGTATGGCCAATTTATGAATGTCTATGTGCCGACAAATCATCATTTATAACAACTTGAAATTGTTTTAGTTCCATTCTCCAATTTTGACCAACTCTTATTTTACATTACCTTTGATTTTGGTTCTCATCAAGTGTCTCTATAGTTCAATGGGGATTAGTTGGCAGCTCGAGGGCCAACTCATGCGGCATTAAGCTCAAAGTAACCTTTTGTTTTTTTTCCTTAATCTTCCGCCATCAATACAAAGTATTTTCTAATATATACATAAATTAGAAGACCACGGTATCATTTTTCAATATAGAGTATCTCAGTCCATAATAGCCAAACTCTGGATGATGATTCTAGAAACAAAATATTTCATTTGATGTATATGTATGATCCAATTTCGATTGGAAAAGGAGTTCAGTCCAATCCTGTCTTTTCTTAAGATGATCATATTTTCTCTTTTATGGGAAGCGATAACACAAAAAATATTTAACTAAGGTTATTAAAAATTGCTTCAAAGTAAGCTAGACAAGATTTTTTTTTAATATAGAGCGGCCAAACTACACTAAGTTGTGTTTTTCATTAACTCATTGTTTATTTGTGATGTTTTTTTTATCATCCTACAACTTTCGTTTTCATGCAAAAAAATTCTAGTAGTCGTAGAGTTTTATTTTTAATATTTTATCTTTATAAATGTTAAGTTACAATAATGAGCAATTACTTTAAAATTATATTGATACGGCTTATGCGACATTAAGATTTTCATTTTATTCATTCATTAGGGATCAGATAATGAGCAATTTCTAAAATAAAATACTTCATTCTTGCAAATGTGCTTAGTGGACTGTATCTACTGTATTGTTTATGTGCTCCTTGCCTACCGGCTGGTGCTGTCTGAGGGTTCTTTCTCTAGAGCTTGGTCCATTCCGATCGATCCTATGCTAGGTCCCTTCTCCTTCTCTAATCCACATTCCTGGTCACGCACGCTCTTTAACACCTTCCTTCCAGGTTTTCCTAGGGCCGTTCTCAGGTCCTTCTTCCATCCACCTTCATGTTATAGATCAGCCTAGTTATTCTTTTACCTAGCATCCGTGAGACATGTACAAACCATTTCAGACAATTCTTCTCTAGGGTTTCATGTAACGATTTTAGGCCGAGATCGTTCCTTATCCTGGTGTTTCTCACCCACCAGTTTTTCCTTTCATTTTCCAGATGAATCTCATCTCCATGGTCTGCCGTTTTCTTGTATGCTTGCTGGTTAGGATCCATGACTCACTGGAATAAGATAGGGTAGGCAGACAATTTTTCTTGTGTACTATCTTCTTTGTATATACTACATTCCTTCCTAATACCAGTATATCGTTTGAGAAGGTAAATACATTTAAATGGACCGCTTGCATGTTTCTGTGACCTACATGGAAACCACTCATATTGTCCTTGGCATTCTTCGAGGCCGTATTTAATACTAAAATGAATAGGAGTAGGCTAAGTCTGCATCCTTGTATGATACCAGTTGAAGATCTAAATTCTTTGGTTCTGTGATTGCAGGTTCTAACGGCATTTCTGCATATAGCAAAGATAATTAAGGAGTCAAAGATCCATATCATTTTCCCTTTATGCCTTTTCAATATCCTGAACAATAACCTTGTAGAAAACTATGATCTGATCAGCAAAGCCAATGCAGGCTTATTTGCTCTTATCAATGAGCTTCTCAGAAGCCTGCCTGATAGCAAATATCAGATTTTGCCAGCGCCTATTTTCTCGGGACCCATATCGTTTTTCTCCTAGAAGTGGTTCCACAGTAGTTCAATATCTTTCTTCCACTCAAGATCGAAAAGGTACTTCAGAATTTTCATTCCTAGGCTTCCCAGTTTCTTAATCATATCTGACGTTATGCCTTTTCCGTCCTGAGTGTTGCTACGACTTCTAAAATTTCGTCCTCATCATAAATGCGCTTCCAGATTGCCGTTCTTCCTCTGTCCTCCTTATGTCAGGCTTTTGCAGCTCGCTAAAATCTTCCTTCCACCGTTACAAGATCTTGTCTGAGTCTGACAGGATTGTATCATTCTTGTCTTTTATAACTTCGGTTCGTGCTCTTTCCCTTAGTTCCCTGAGGGACTTCAAGGTCTCAAAGAATATCTCCTGGTTGTTCCCAAATTTTTCTTTCACATTCTACCCAAATTTTACTAGCACCATTCTTCGCCACATATACCTCATGTAAATTAAACATATTGCATTAGTTGTTAATTGAAACTAGTCAAATTAACTATCCATTAATAAGAATAAAATTATAATGTACCTAAATAATAGCACTATTAACTTTATGATTTCAGACAGCCTTGGCTTCTTCAATCAGAGACCTCTTCCCGTTCCTTTATCACAAAGGATTCGTTGATGTAAAGACACCAAGGACATACGAAGTTAGATGTCTGGATGATATGAAAAATTTTACAAAACAGTACCGAATAAATGCTTGCGTATCCCTAATGCGAAAATTCGTAGCATCCATGGAACCTTCTTCCAAGATTCAAATGTTTAGTGAGGATGGAACGGTAAAATAACATACAACTAATATAAACCTATTTCGAATCAACAGAATTCAAAAATGATTTTCGATTTACCAGGTACCGCTGGATTGCTTAGACTTCGCAATTCAAAGAGTAGTTGAAATGATCCGTTATTACCAACACGCCGATATAGATGAGTGGCACTTTAGTGTTGTTAGTGAAGAGGATTGGAATGTATTTATTTACAGATTCTACGATATCGTCCACCAAGACGCTAAGTTCCAATCAAATCATCATAATATAAATGTTCCGGTAAGTTTGAAAGAAATTTGTGATTTTTAAATGTATAGTAACCATTTTATATTTATAAATATTTAATTATACGTGATAAATTTTGTTAGATTTTTAACTCTGAAATGGTATTTATCACACACGATCCACATAAATAAACATCCCTGGTGTCAAACGATAATCCTTTTCCATAAATTTTACTTATTCCATTAATTAGGTCATTATATGGTTATTTTTTACCAAATTTTCATACATCATTGTTCCATTCATGTCCTTGTGATCTGACGCAAGAGCTTAGATAATCAGGCTATGTATGGTATGTCGACTTCAAGGTCTTCATAACATTTCATATACCTATAGAAAATATTATTCAGTGAAGACATGTTCCATATATTTTATTTCTAAAGTATACTATTCTAACAAAATATTAGTGTAATTATCAAATTTGTGGGTGGAGCGAAAAGCATTGCTGTGAGTTGCAGTTACCATGGTTTAGAAGCAGAAAGTAATTCAGTGTTTCCTACAACAAAAACAGAGCTAATAGCTAGGCTTATTATCTTCTCACGCCAAGTTTTCCTCTATTACTTTATACCATTTGAACTGGTCCTTTGCAAGAATCTATCCTATTTAAATTCATCTACGCCTTATTCTCTATCGTAACCTCCGACAGGAGGATTCAGTTTGCTCTCCTCTAAGAAAAATGGTCAGGCTATAGATATCCATTTTTGCTAACGATGTCTTTCCTCATTGGTTGATTGGTTTCATTTTTATGAGAGTGAGAAATTCATCATAAGTGGTAGAGTCCACTTTTAACTACATTTAAAAAACAGTCGCTTGCGCCCTGGGACTGCAAACATAACAGTTTGGAGCGGGGTGGCCTAGCGAAATAATGCGTCTGTATAGCATCCCGCGTCGCCCGATAACCTGATAACCGAAGTTGGAGACAGACAAAATAATTACAATAATTAAAATAACTAGAGTTCGCGTCCTGGAGCTCGAGGGCTTTTAACTCTGTCAGTGATCCCCAGCCCTAGCCCATGGTACGGGCAAACCTCCGTATAACCTAAAAGGCGAGGTAAGGATGAAATAAAAAAAACGGTTTTCATTGTGCCTTCCTCATTTCATAACGTTCCAATAAAACAATAATAAAAAAATTTAATAAATTAATTTACTTTTTAGAATAAAAAGTAGAGCCTTATAAGGAATGAGAAATTATAATAAAATCGTTTCACTTAAAGGTTCTTTTAATACATTGCAGAAGTTGATATATGCTTGCGAAAAATTAAATATAATCTTTGAGAAGTACTTCCCAGACACGAAACATGATGGTCACAGGAACCTCTGGATAGTAAAACCATCCAATGGTAGCTGTGGGCGAGGAGTAAAGGTTTTTAAAAGACTGAATGAGATACAACAATATTGCAAACCGGCGAATTCCTACGTTATCCAGAAATATATTGGTAAAATTATCATTTGTAATTTAGTTTTGACAAGTTAAGTAAGTGCCTAAGAAACAATAGAATTTTTTAAGCTAAGATCCTTTCAGATTTTCAACTACAGACTGAGCTAGCCGGGCTAGCTTGATTTTCCGATGGTTATTTCGAACTCTTTGGAATATTAAGTAGCGTTACAGAAACCTATAGCATTCCTAGTGAACTAATCAAGCCATCCGAGGAACCTGGTTTGTAATATATATCTTTTGGTTAAAAAAATCTGGAACAATAAGGAATGCCTAAAGAATGGAAGGAGACCATTATTATTCCGATTCATAAAAAACGACCGAGGACGGATTGTAACTACCCGAGAAATCTCACTCCTTCCGTTATGCTATAATATTTACGTTGATCCTCATTCCATAACGTAAAATTACACAGCTGTGAAAACAGAATATTCATATTGAGCAGGGGATTCTAAAAAAAAAAATAGTTCGGATATGCATGACGGAAACATTCAATGAAGTTAGAATCGGTAATTATTTATCCGAATAATGTGTGGCTCGGAAGACAGCTGTTGATGTTAAACAACGATAAAGGTTAATTTGCTTTTGTCTCTTCTAAAAAGTGATAATTTAGTACAAATACTCATTTTTTGTGTAGCAAAAGTGTTTTTTTGAAGACAACAGAGCTGAAGACAAAAAACAAAACAAAGAGTGAGCGGATTTCACCGCCAACGATAGTGGAACGGTCACAACACGAGGAGGTAAGCAATATGAACTTAGCAAATAGTGACACAAACAGCGACGTTGGCTCCTGGGAGCTGGTTATTGGTCGTAAAAGATCTATGTCAGATTCAAGCGAGCCAAGAGCACAAAAACAACCAGCAGAACCTATTCCAACCTCTCTCAGTTTTGAGGTTCTAACCAAGGTTAACTCGCGAACTGAAGAAACAAGACAACCGCCTCAAAATGATAAAACTCCACCAATTTTTATAAATGTTGTGGAGAATTATCATGCTTTAATTTCATTCTTAGAAAATGAAGCTGGCCCTAATACATTTAAGACAAAATCAACATTAAAAGGAGTCACTGTTTACCCACAAACACCTGATATATATCGCGAATTAAATTCAAGCCTACGAAATAAAGGCGCGGACTTTCACACCTACCAATCCCCACAGGACAGGTGCCCAAGAGTTGTTGTTAAATATCTCCATCATGGAACACCAGTCGAGATAATCAGAGAAGAATTTAAAAATATGGGCTATGAAGAAACAAATGTGGTAAACGTAATATCTCGATTTAAAAAACCTCTTCCTATGTTTTTCGTAGACGTTACAAAAGAGACATTCAGAGAAGATATTTTTAAAATTGAGTTTTTATATTACTCTCACATTAAAATCGAGAAACCACGTCAGAAGCGAAGTTTTCCTCAGTGTGTTCGGTGTCAGCAATATGGACACACTAAAACATATTGCAATCATCGACCACGCTGTGTGAAGTGCGGCGAATGTCACGAAAGCAGTTCATGTTTAAAAACTATAGAGACAAAGAAGTTGGAAGTGCGCCAATTGTAGTGGTCAGCACCCGGCTAATTACAGAGGCTGCCAGACGCTGAAAGATCTCAGGGTTCAGCGTAATGCAAGAAACCGTCTTCAGTATCCCACTGTAGCACAACCAGCCCAGGGACCTCCAGGCATCCATGAATTCCCTCCAATACGGCAGCGGACCAACCAAGCGGAACCACAGAGCATCGCTGGACCGCAGCAGCAACATAATCAACCATCATCGAACTCAGCACCCCAGAACCAAAAAATATGTACAGGTATGAGAAGAGGCATTACCTAGACGGTAACTCCGGTAGATAATAGCTCTTCCCAGTTATTTAATATAATTAATGGGTTAAATAACTTAATCCAGCCCCTTTTCATTCTTCTTCCACAACTGTCACAGTTTACACAGGTCTGGTGCCCTAATTATGTCCCACAATAATTTAACTGTAGATTCTCTGTCAATTCTTTTGTGGAATGCCAACGGACTGACACAACACAGTACTGAACTTGACTTATACTTGCACGAAAAACGGATTGACGTTGCACTCATTACTGAAACACACCTGACACCTCGATCAAAAATTTACATCCAGGATTACTCTATTTATAGAAGGGGAACTAGAAGAAGCCGTTGAAACTTTTACAAAAAGTATACAAGATGCAGCATGGTCCTCATCAACATCTAGGTCCAAAGAGCAGTGAACTTGCCCCATTATCCTATGTACATAAGGGACTTAATCAGGGCAAAGAGAAGAGCTCGTAAAGTGTGCCAGACTAATAGACTTCCTTTAGACAGACAAACTTTCAACAGATTGAACAACGAACTTAAAAGACATATTCAAAAATTCAAAAGCACAAACTACGACAATTTTATTAACAACCTTTCGACGGACGATGAAAGTTTATGGAGACACACAAGGAATCTTTTAAAGCATCGTGAGGTGTCAGCACCCCTACGAAGAGAGGATTGTTCTTGGGCTATTTCGGACGAAGAAAGATCTGAACTCTTTGTTGCTCATCTTTCCTCTGTTTTTAAATCACATACGGACTTCGTTAATACAGAACATGATATTTTTGTACAAAATAACTTAGACATACCACTACAGCTCACACTACCACCACCTCCTTTTACACCATCACAAGTTGCAAAAGAAATTAGACAATTGCCGAAAAGAAGAACCCCTGGTCATGACTTGATAAATGCTGAGGCGCTCCAGCAAATGCCAAGGAAAGCTCTAGTGTTTCTCACCACAATCTTCAATTACATTCTTAGGACCACAAAATTTCCAATACAGTGGAAATATTCTCATATAACCATGAATAAAAAGCCAGACAAAGAAAGTAACAAACCTTCTTCATATAGACCGATTAGTTTGCTTCCAGTGTGTTCTAAATTATTTGAAAAACTATTATACTCACGACTATTACATATACTAACAGACAAACAGATTATTCCTGACCATCAATTCGGGTTTCGAAAATTACATTCAACAACACAACAATTACAAAGGGTAACTGACTACATATCGACAGCACTAGAGCGAAAACTATATGCAACCGGAGTATTTCTGGATGTCGCCCAAGCTTTCGACAAAGTATGGCATCAGGGGCTTCTCTTCAAACTTAAGACCATACTTCCACATACTTACTACTTAATTCTTCACTCCTTTCTCTCAGACAGATTTTTCTCCGTTCGACACGGTTCAGGTCTATCCTCAATTCGACCTATATTAGCTGGCGTACCTCAGGGGTCAATCTTAGCCCCACTACTGTACATAACATACACACATGACATTCCTCAAAGTATCCACACACTTACAGCAGCCTACGCAGACGACACTGTTATCATTACTAGACACGATAATCCTACACAGGCATCACTTAACCTACAACTTCACTTACAAAAAATAAACGATTGGTGTAAACTATGGAAAACTCAAATAAATTATCAAAAGTCACAACACCTCACATTTACTCTAAGACTAGAAGCATGCCCTGCTGTATACTTAGACAACATACCAATTCCACAAACAGATAGAGTACAATACCTAGGCCTGACGTTTGACAGAAGAATGACATGGGGTCTACATGTAAAGAAAAAACGTGCATCATTAAATCACAGATTAAAACTATTGCATTCATTATTAAGACGACATTCTAAATTAAAAGCAAGACAGAAATTATTAAAAAAAAGACAGAAATGTTAAAGTAATATATTGTATGGATAACTATTATTATTGAAGGACATGAATAATCCTTTATACATTTTTTTTTAAATTATGGAGATTAAAGTTTTTTTTTGTTATTTATTAGAGAACCCGCTGCTGATTTACCAGACCAAATTTGACGTAAGACAATGGTTTCTGATTACCAGCGTCTACCCTTTGGTTATTTGGATGTATAAGTAAGTGTGTTTAATTTTAAATATGGTGATAGATTTGAAGAAAGTGAAATAATGAGCTATGTAACCCAACAGTGAGTGCTACCTTCGGTTTTGCTCTCAGCAGTTCAGCCTAACTAACGTCCACGAGTCCGTACACTTGTGCAACAACTCCATTCAGTACAAATACAAAAATGGTGTTCGGAATCCTCAGCTGCCCGAAGACAACATGTGGGCTGATTCAACATTTCAATCATACTTGAGGTATTTGCTTATATAACGTATTTCTAATAAAGCCATAGGCGCCAGCACATGGGAAGTATTGAGTACGTGCACATTACTGTAGCATGGAAAGTGTTCAATGCATAGGAGAGAGATAGTAGGCTATTGAGATGTAGTTCAGTAATCAATTTATTACCTGTAATATTATTCATTTTTCTATCTTAAATTATTATTGAACTTTTTGGGAGTTAGTTATGAATATTCAATCACGTACGGTGTAAAACTGAAGAATTAAAAAAAATTCCATCAAATTACCTATATCATTCGTTGTAAACCTATGACCTCCTGTCCTACAATATTCTTTAACAATTTCCCACTTAGCCCAGTTGAACAAATTCATTACCTAGGACTCCATCTGGACAAACGACTCACTTGGAATCCTTATACAAGACTGAAACGACAAAAAAACACTCGACGTTTCCGACTATTCCAGCACTTACTAGACAAACGTTATAAGCTTTCAATATACGACAAAAGACTCATTATATGACTATAATAAGTCCTACCTACTTGGGCTTACAGGATTGGATTTGGGGGCTCCACTCAACCATCGAATTCCTCTCGTTTTCAATCCTTCCAATCCAAAATCCTCAATTCACCTTACTTTGTCACAAATAATATCATCCGTAACGACCGTAACGTACCATATGTTTGCTATTTGGCCCTATCTAGATACCTATCCTTCCATAACAAACTCCAGAACCATCCGAACCCTCTCATTTCAAACCTTGTTTCCTCCTCGATCTCTGATAACCCTCCGAGGCTTCTACAAAAAAGGTGGTCTCGCGATCTTCTTGTGTAAATTTATTATTTGAGTGCTACCACTGTGTAGCTTCTCAACAAGCGTTTTCATGTTATTATATCCCTGAGTGCACTAGATGTATTTTTTTTTTTTTTTACTTTCCTTGCTATACTAGGCAAGCAATGTATTGCGATCGGGTCAAATTTCCGATATGCGGTTTTCAACAGGTCTATATGTTTCAGAGCCCCCTGAGTCCGAAAAACAAATTTTTATCCATTGGTCTGTCTGTCTGTGCCAAGATTTTCTCGGAAACTACTGAACCGATTTTGTTGCTTCTTTTTTTATTCTATATGGTTTCGAAAAAACACCGTTTAGCCTTTTTTTTTGAAAGGTGATGAAATTCTCTATAAAACTATATAAAAATAGTTCGTTTTGGACAACTGTTGACGAAGTTACAGCTATTCAATTTCCAATGTAAGATTACGGTTTCATATCCGGGTGTCAGAAAGGGATGAATGAGAGAAAAAAGATGACTAATTGATAGTAAGAAAATCTGTTGAACGGATCACACAAGCTTCACTATTTTCTCTACTTTTAACAGAAATTATTGTTTGACAAAATTAAGTTATGGCAAAAAGTTTTTGATCAGCAATATGAGAGAGTACTGAAATCTTTAAACTGATCTACCTCAAGTCGGTTGACGGTAAACATTGCATTAGTTTATCAAATAAATCATACTCAAATCATTTCTTTGATCAATTTTCAGGAAAATAAATCTAATTCAATTTTTTTTTTTTTTTCATGAACATATCTAAAGATATAAAAACTTTTCTGAAATAGGTAGGAAAGTCGTGTGAGTATACACACCAGATTTTCTTTTAATACAGTTGGAAATATCATGAAAAAAAAAGTTTTAAGTAACTGGCTGAGAAGTATTGGATGGCTGGTCCACTTCATAAAATATGTTGGGAAAGACAGAAAGTGCGTTGCCTCTCAGTGCCGGCGTCTATGAAAGTAGCCATTACTTTTAATACTGTTAGAAAAGGCGAACTTTGTAAAACAAAGCAATGGAGTAGATTCATGAATAAAAAGGTTATAAGATATTTATATTTGCAGTACTACATCCCAGGATATACTAGTACAGATGATTTTTAGTTTTTCTTTTCACTGTGATAACACTTCTAAAACATTCCTTTAAAATGATAATCGGTGAAAATAACAAAAAAATATTTACCAAATGTATAAATATTTTGTCATTAATTTCCCTTCTCTACCACCTCTCTCCCCTCCCCCTATCCTCAGCCTTTCATGTTGCGGAACACACACGTCTCCCAAGCTCCACACAATATCCTTGATACTGCAGAAGACAGCTTCGGTCTTTAGATTTTCTTAACTTGTGTGGATTTTAGATTTCGATGATTATTTGCATCTGATTATTTCAGTCCGATAAACTCTAAACCTAGTATATGCCAACACTTTGGTGAATAAAAAGGAAAATAACTCTAATGAGTTTAACTTAGGCAATATTCGACATTATTTTAGCAGTGAATTTGGTAAGTTATATGTTTTATGAAAAGAAAATCACCCTTTTATTTTGGCATATAAATATCTTACGTGGCTGAGGGCGCCCTTCAGTGTTAGCTGTTCTGGTCCTCTCTACTCAAGTTGGTCTAAAGTGGGCGAGAGAGACCCGTAGCTTAAGCAGATTAACTCTTGTCAGATCTCTATTTTTACAAATCGTACCGCAAGGCGGCGTTCGGGTACAAAATTACGTTCACAAAAGACTAATGGACAAGAGGAAAACATGGAACAGACCGCTGCAAGTGTAATTGTATGAACGAATGAAAACCTGTTTCGTATAATAACACAATACAATACAAGGAATAATGGTAAGATGTAAATACATAACTAGATAAAGTACGTCCTTTAATAAATAATGCAACAATAACAAACAAATACTGTCCATAACAAATAAATGAGGCATTCCAATAATGGTTCACAAAGTGACAAGTTGGGCTCTTTTTAATGTACGTAATTACTTAGGGTTTTCTAATTAGCCTCTCAATAGACTGAATAATTCCTCCGGCAAACAAAATATTATTCCCTAATATCACTGTAGACATGACAAGACCCCAGGAAATGCATGGTGTCATCTTTTTCCCCGGAATTCCAAACCGATCAATAATCACAACACTCCTGCACCCACGGTTTAACGCTTAAATTAAGTAATTCCCTCTTGCATCGAAAAATCGACCTTATCGTTACAAGATCAAAACTGTCATTGAGATAGAGTGATACAGTGGCAAAATTAAATAAACCTGCATCTATAGAAAAATTGGACTGCAGACATTTTTCGAGGTTGTATTGTTTTTCCCATTCCTCAACCATATCCCTTACTGCGGTCAAATTTACACTTAAGTCCGCGGTATTATATGATAAAAGTCCTGTAATTCCAACCACTTCCGGTACCAATAAACTTTATTTTTGATCACTTCTTCTGTTGGAATGTGCTGTAAACGGAAATTGAGCTCTCCAGAACTTTCGAAATGTAATCACAATAAATTTTTAGCGTATAAGCGTATATAGAGATGATACCCGTCTCATGCGCCAAAATGTAATTAGGTGCATACCTCGGAAGGAGTAACAATTTTTTTATAAAATATTGTTTGATTTTTACCAAAACATCAAAATTTTTAAAACCCTAGACCTGCCCAGCTTAGGTAACCACCACCCGTGAAACTGCCTTATATACTTCTAATTTACTTGTATAGCGGACATTTTTATAAGCCATAAAATTATTCAAAGCAGAATTCAAGTGTAATTGTATATGATCTACGGTTTTTCTAATTTTCTCTTTGCTTACTCTGTTTTTAAGTAATGCTGAGCAATAAAATATCTTGGGAGTGGGGAGGATAGCTCCTTGCGCCATCGACTTTGTCGGGATGGGCACCTCTGGCATCCAATGCGGAGGGTCATATATCCAATTACTTACTAAATTCGACGTTTTATAATTTTTTTTTTTGTAATCATTGATATTTACAACTGTATTATAAAAAATTACAACTAGTAAATGTGCGCAGAGTAATTATACAATCACATGAAAACCCTTGTTGAGAAATTACCCATTGGTAGCACTCTAATAATAACATAAATAGATCACGAGGCCATCTTCTTTTCAGATGCCTCGGAAGGTTATCAGGGATCGAGAAGGAAGCAAGGTTTGAAACGAGAGGGTTCGGATGGTTCTGGAGTTTGTTATGGAAGGGTAGGTATTTGGATTGGGCCAAATAGGAAAGATATGGAACATTAAGGTCTTTATGGATGATTTTATCTGTGACAAAGTAAGAAGCATTGTGGATTTTACAAAGGATTTTGGATTGTAAGGATTGGATACGAGAGGAATTCGACGGTTTAGTGGAGCCCCAAAGCTCAATTCCGTAAGTCCAAATAGGTCTTATTATTGTCATATATATGAGTTGTTTGTAATTGATTGAAAGCTTAGAGCGTTTGTCTAGTAAGTGTTGGAGTAGTCGAAAACGTCGAGCGGTTTCTTGTCGTTTCAGTCTTGTATAAGGATTCCATGTGAGTCGTTTGTCCAGGTGGAGTTCTAGGTAACGGATTTGTTCAACTGGGATAAGTGGGGAATTATTAAGGGATAATATAGGACAGGAAGTGTATAAATTTGATTTATAAAATAAAAATTTGTACTTTTTTTATATAATATCCAAACTTTATAGTGACAGGGACGGTTCTTTGGCCTGGCCTGGTATAAAGAACAAAATGCAGCAAGCTATCATCGCAGCTTGCCTAGTAAGCCAGGACAAGATGTACCACAGAGCCAATTCGTTCCACCTGTACGGTGCGGATTTCATGATCACTCCAGATTACGACGTGTGGTTGATCGAGATCAATACTCATCCAAGTATGAAGTATTCCACAAGTGTAACTAGTCGGATGTGTAAAGAGGTTTTGCAAGATACGCTGAAAGGTATTGCTATAATTTTATATTCTTCTTATTAGTTTGTTACCTTATAATTGACTATACATATGACATTTCCTAAAAAAAAACATCAACAGTTTTTCTTATGAAAACGAAAAATAACGTATTATATTAGATACTTATTATTACGTTTCTTAGGAACCATATGGACCTATGATTAATTTGAATAGTTTCATAATATGAAATAAATTTCATATAATGAAAATTATTTAATCTATTCCTTAATTTACTTCGTTATTACTTATAATTCTGAAATGATGATTCATGCCAGTAAGTTTACTTTTTTCATATCATGTTAGTGTAACCATATATTTAGACCTCAACTCTGGCCATAACAATCAACTCTGGCCGTCATTATAATTATAAGATCTTCCAAATTTATTTAAATATTCTATTCAGCTAATGAAACAAAAACTTTCTCTTTACACAGAATTTCTATGTAAATTAATTGTTTTTCAATTAAGTAATTTTTAATGTTGTATTTTACAAAAAATCTATTATTTATTTTTCTTTAATTGTATTATTACCGAAAGTAGTGTATTAGTAGGGTCTCATATTGTAGTATAGAAGTAGAGCCTTGTATTTCAATTTATTGGAACATAAAGACCTTACTTATTCTGTCTCTTTCCTTTTACCAATTACCAATTTTTACAAGAAATAAAATTAATATATATAGTAGTATATATATATAGCATATAATATATACAGTATATAAACATCGTGAAATAGAAAATTTAGCTTGGAAGAAGGCCGGTACAACTCTAAAGTACTTATATTCTTAGAATAGTAAGATCGTTAAAAATATTTTAAATATGTTTAGGGATTATTCTTAGTATACTTAATAATGTTTAATCCTAATTGTACACTTTTATTGGAATTTCAATGAGAAATTTCCCTTTTCCCTTGGTTTGCTCAGAATGCAAATAATAAGACCGCCAACAAATCACGGACGGACGAACAAATTTCTCAAAATTAGTGTTGCCCAAAATCTTGCACTTTGCCCGCCTAACTGTTGCAAGACCAAGACCAAACTGGTAAAAAAAAATCAATTTGAAATAAAAATTAAGGTAAAATAGTTACTAATACTTGACAATCCATGTAAAGAATTGGTATAACCAATATACTTTTCAATTAACTCCTCTAATTTTTCATTCATTAGGTTTCTTCTATCTAAAATATTACAGTAATATCTTTATAGTAATACGCTAATAAGTAACTGCAAGACTCTCCAAGACATTTGGGCAGTATTCACAATGAAATTTGCAAATCGCCCGAAGACCCAAGGCACCTGCTGTTTAGACGTAAAAGCATTACCTCAAACTTAAATAAAGACAAAATTGGGAAGTTAAAAACGCTTTTTACAAAAACAATGTAGGATTTAGGAAAGTGAAAAAAAGAATGAATCGGAAGAAATCTATTATTTTTATATGCACACATCTCTCAAAATGTATATTTATCAAAATACATATGAGTGACCTGATATTAAAGGCGGGCATCTGTCACCGAATTAGAAATTGAGTCATTACTTGGTTCTTAAAGAATTTTCCTCGCTCGATTAAATGGTGAAATTAGTTTATATTGAAAAAAAAAATATGTTAAATTTAACTTTAAACTTGATAGTTCATTTCAAAAACGGACATCTGAAATTCATATTTGAGTATATACTTTCATAAGTGGACATCCACCGAACTACCAATAGAATAGTCGGATTTGATCACGTGATTAAATTTTAAGTAGCGGTTGCCTATTTTTCTCTGAATGGAAAAAACACCAAAAGACAGATTTATTAAATCGGAATGGAAAGTGGATCATCTAATTTTAAGTTAAAAAAGGAAAGTTACAGGTGTTCCCTGTTGAAAATTTTCCAAATGAATGTTATCTAATAAGATGAACGAACGGAGAATCTCTCTGTCCAGAAACATTAGATGTCTATAAAAAATATTAACAGAAGGATTTTTTTTTTAGAGGGAATTGTCATGGATGAAGAGGGAAGTAAGATAGGAATTAAAGGATTGGGATCTGAACTTCAGCAAGAACTAAAGCAAGAATTTTCATCCTTCAGATTCTGAAGGATGAAAATTCTTGCTTTATTATATTACAGTAATAATTATTGGAATGACGATCAGTGAGATGTTTGGTTCGTTACCATAAAATTCTGTAACGGCGTTTGGTGTGGATTAGGTCTATGAGGTGTTTGGATAAATTATTTTTCTTAGGTTTTCTTGAGGAATGATTCGGAGAGGAAGCAGTTCATACTGCTTGTTGAATGGTGACGGTGAAGGAATGCACGCCATTGTCAAGGTCTTCTGGGATTTTAAAGGTTATTTTGAGGTCGATTTTATCGGAAAGGATTTGAGCAAAGAGTTTTCAGTTAACTGGACCTCTGATGAACGATGGTGAAGAAGGTTTAGGAATAAGAGCTAGAATAATTGGAGTATTAATGGACTATGCTATGAGGAAAGTTCATCAAGACGGATAAGGGAATGATTGGACAGACCTAAACCACTGGGGATAGAAAAATCGAGGATATCAGGATTGAGATTAGGATCAATGGGCCAGTAGGTAGGTGAGTTGGGTGGAAGGAGGCTGAAACATTTGGAATTGAGTACAGGGAGCAATGTTCTACAACGAGAGTTCGTGAATCTTCAACCCCATTCTTGATGCTTGGCATTTATGTCTGAACCCAAGATGAATAGATAACCCAAGAAGGACATTGGATATGGATCTTTTAGGAGGGCAGTATGCTGATGCTGGGGTGATGGGCAGAGGATAGACTCATAAATCCTTTCAATCGATATGGTAAAATAATATCACGCATTTTTCTAATACTCCAACGCAGTACTCTAACATAGAAAATAACAGTTTCTTCACATTTCAAACAGAGGAAAAAAAGGTTAGCTGTTGAGTGCTTTGGTGCGAAAAATATTAGTCTCGTCTATTCCTTGTAGAACTGACAGATGCAGATGTAGCCTTTCTTCCCTTCCCCAAAAAATCAATGTTATACTCGTATCAGCAAGCCGGATTGAAATTACAAATTTGTCTTTATAAATTAAAAATAAGCTATTGGCCGATTTGGGGTTGAGTAGGATGCGCCCGGTAAATAGTCCAGTAAAATTAGGGATTGACCCTAACATTAAAAAAATAAAGATAAAACTTGTCAGAAATTGTTTATTACTCTCCGCATAATAACTGGTAATAAGTCCCAAAGAATCCCGCGTCGGGTTTTGATTGGGAGAGGGGAAGAAGTGTAGACAAATGATATTTTTTTAAGAATATCTCAAAAACTGTGAAGTTTTTTGCAAAGATTGTTTATGAGAATAATAAATTGCTTAAAAAGTTCTATAAAAATTATTTTATACATTTTTTTTGTATAAAATCAATGGTTACGGAGATATATATGAGATTGTATTTCCACTTCAAACAAAAATTACTTCAAACCACAAAATTGATAATGTTCAACTTTAGATTGACATTAACTTCATGTAATTGATAATATGTGATAGAAGAAATTAAAACTTATACAAATTTACCATAAACCATGGTCTGATTACATACAGGACCAGAAAACTTAAATTTTGTCATCTTTAAGCTAACCACGTTTTATGTGCGTTTTTTTAATAAACTCTCAACTGGACTGAAGATACCACTCTTTCAGAAACACCTCCTTCTTTGATGATCTTTAATTCTATATTAATTAGGTTGAGTTTAAATTTTCTCTAATTGAGTAAAAATATCATTAGTTCGGTAAAATTAGAGATCTACCCCAATATTGTTACATCTTTTTACTTAATTAGGAATGAATCTTAACTTAATCTGTAACAAACCACAACTTAATTAATATAGACTTAAAGCTCATCAAACAAGGAAGTTTTTCTGAAAGTGTGGTATCTTCAGTCCCATTGAGAGTTTATGAAAAAAATTGCGAAGATTCCTTGATTTTATGAAAAGCTAACTTACCGTATTTTAACTGCTTAAATGTCCCTTTTAAATGGTTTTAAAATTGACAAGATTTACATTTATTTATTTTAGATTACATCTAGTTTCCTATGAAGTAATTGGTTGTGACCTAAACTAAACATTTTTTTAGGTATTGCTTTTTATTCAACATAAAACGTGGTTAGCTTAAGAATGACAAAATTTAAGTTTTCTGGTCGTCTGTATGTAATTAGACCATGGTTTATGATAAATTTATATAAGTTTTAATTTCTTCTATCACATATTATCAATTACATGAAGTTAATGTCAATCTAAAGTTGAACATCATCGATTTTGTGGTTTGAAGCAATTTTTACTTTTACTTTTAGTGGAAATACAATAAATATAAACCCATAAATATCTTCGTAATTATTGATTTAATAAAATAAAGTATAGAATCATTTTTATAGAGCTTTTTAAAAGCACTTTGAAAAATCCCCACAGTTTTTGAGATATTCTTAAAAACCTAAAAAATTATCATTTTTGTCTTTCTTTTCCTCACCCCATCAAAACTCGACGCGGGATTCTTTGTGACTTTTTATCAGTTATTATAGGGAGAGTAATTGACAATTTCTGACAAGTTTTATCTTTATTTTTTAATGTTAAGAGTCATTCCCTAATTTTACTGGACTATTTACCGGGCGCATCCTACTCAATCCCAAATCGGCCAATAGCTTATTTTTAATTTATAAAGACAAATTTGTAATTTCAATCCGGCTTGCTGATACGAGTATAACATTGATTTTTTTGTGAAGGGAAGAAAGGCTACATCTGCATCTGTCAGTTCTACAAGGAATAGACGAGACTAATATTTTTCGCACCAAAGCACTCAACAGCTAACCTTTTTTTCCTCTATTTGAAATGTGAAGAAACTGTTATTTTCTATGTTAGAGTACTGCGTTGGAGTATTAGAAAAATGCGTGATATTATTTTACCATATCGATTGAAAGGATTTATATATATATATATATATATATATATATATATATATATATATATATATATATAAAACTCCGTGCTCCGTACTCCTCCATCTTTTCCAGCGTTGAAAGCTCTTAGTCAATCTGTTTCAATGAGTGTTTGAACATTTCCTGCTGGCCAATTCACTTAAACGGAAATGGAACTCCGCAGTTTTATAACTTCCCATCTGAAAAACCTGGCAAGTTCTTCGTGATTTTTAAAGAATTATCATAAAGAAAAAATAGAATCAGTGAAATGGCTCTTCTTTTTTCTACTCCTTCCCTCCTATACCCATCCCTCTCCTCTCAATGGAAATGACCAACAGCGATTTTTTTACAACCAAGGTACAAACGAATTCGTCATTGAGGACGTAATCTAATCTAATATATTCCCAAAACCCAACGACCAAGCTATCTTTTTAATCCATACAAACCGACCTTGATAGATTTCTCAATATAGTGCAGACTATTATTAAATACAATCACACCCTGAAATGTTAAGACTTTTGTTTGAATTGTTTCATTATCTCACATAACTTTTTATAAAATAATTCCTTGCGATAGATTCCTTAAGAATTTATAGAACTCAGTCCCAAGGTAACTTATGTTCCTCATTAGTAGCTATTATTTAAATAATTAAGGAGTTCAAGGAAGTCTTGGTAAAGTTGGAAATCCTAATTATTAATATAAACAACTAATTAGCGGTCCAAGTTAAGAAAGAGAAAGTTGTATTCACCACTGTCCTCTTCTTTAGCTTCTTTTTTCCTTTTCTCTATAATACATCACCTCATATAAATATAATACATTTCCTAAAAAATGTTTTTATAAATACAAATCAATGTTTTAACCTCATCACTAAAATGTAATATATTCTTATAATAACATATACATAATATAACTCAAAAAAATTGTAAATTGTTGTATTTTTATATATATTTATTATCAACTGAAATCAATTACAATTCACATCTGTTGTTCCAAGTATTTTGTCATTAAATAATACTAAACAACCATGAATAAAGATATCTATAACAGAAATATAAGCATGTCTAAAAAATTATATTTGTCCATACTCAAGAAAATAGTGAATGAAATTTAGCATAAGACCATCACAGAACTTGCACAAACCAAGAAAATGTCATCAAAATCGGACGTTAACAGATATGAGCATCAAACCTGAACAGGCTCACTTAAAACGCCGAGAAGACGAAAGCCATCTTAATCAGATCCCCTGACCTCTCAAATCCCTCTCGGTACCCCCCCTCTCACCAATCCTCTTCTGAACAACTTACCTATTTCATTCCGTACTTCCGTAAAAAACCTTGGTGTTATTTTCGAACAAACCCTCTCCTGGAAACCAAGCGTCTTCCAAATTTCCCGTCGTACTATCTCCGCCCTAAAACAGTGCAAACATCTACGCTATCTCCTTCCATTTGAGTCCCGTCAACTCCAAGTTCCCTTTTTGTTTTCCCCCAGTTTGCCTATGGCTGTATGGCTCCATTAAATCCGGTACATCCGAACTCTATCCTCCTTCCCACCGAACTGCTGCGTTTGACAAATCCTTTGTAATTTAAGTCGTTCCCCTTAATTTAATTCTATCCCATCTGATATTCGACATGCACAATCAGTTTCCCTTTCGAACGTCTCCTCTTTAAAAACCTACTCCTTTTCCAATCTGACTGATTATGAAATGTTCCCTAAGAGAACTATAGAAGCACCCCTAGACTATTTATGTTTACTTACGTTATTTTAGGTTCATATGCATGTTTTATTTATATGTATGCGTTTTTTTCTCCCTTTCTCCTTCTTTCTGTATTTTTACTTTAAATTAGCTATCATTGTAAATATTTAATTTATGTATGACCAAGCTGGCATTCATTCTGTATTTATAATTTATTTTAAAGGAACAACAGTCCCAGAATAATTAAAAAATGGTTCATTCATTTCATTTCATGTTTATTTGACCTCACGGAACGAAATTCGTTCCTTTATATGTAAAAAGTAAAATTCAAGTGGAAAATTTCAATTCTGAGAACAAAAAATTGTTTAAGCTTCCGCATTAATGCAAAGACTCTCTACCTTAGGCAGAGAAGAAGCAAAGATTGATGTGATTACATAAAAGTTCGATATTTTGTTTTAATGCTTTACTTGTACCGGTCTTCTTTTAAATAAGCCGTATCATTTATTAGGAAATGTTTCTCTGTATGATCAATCATTTATGTCTAGATATTAAATGTTACTAAGAAGCACTAAAAATTAATAAATCTATATTACTTTTATTTTTAGTTGGGTTGGATAGGAGATCTAATCCTCATGCCGATACGGGAAAATTTACAGAAATTTACAGACAGCAATCTCATATGCCTACTGTAGGCGTGCCGGCATCAGCAGCTGGCGTTCATGCAAGAAAAATTAGACTTCTGAATACCACAAATCCAAGAGAACCACCTACCAAAGCATTTCTCGAGACGTCCAATACTCCATCAAAGTTCGGAAAATGGTTGTCATATACAAGCGTGGCCAGTTATAAAAAGCATAACAAAATTAATTTTAAATATGTTGTTTTAAGACATACAGATATGCCTTTGGATCCTGGCGACAGTATTACTCAAAGAGATATTGGGTATGCAGGTGTACTTGATAAAGTTAATTTAACTGAAAACACAGAAGAAGGAAACGAAGAACCTGTCATCGTACCAGATGAAACAGCCGATAAAGAAAAAATAAAGATACCCACCGTATCTTCAAAACCTCCGAATCAGATCACATTACATAGAAAAGTAGTTTCTAAGCTAAAATCCAAAGAAAAAACTTCCACAGAAAAAGAAAATGTCGAGAATGATGTTGAAAACAGTGCTACCAAGAACCCTGCTAATGCTAAACTTCAGAATACAAATGAGATACCCAGCGTTGTCACACAAATGAGTGTTGATGCGAAACAAAACGAAGTGCAAAAATCAAATGTTGATTTAGAAGTTCAGCGGAATAAAAATCTTCAGGGTGAAGTTGTTGAAGTACGAAGTGTTCTTGAAATTATTAAGGCTAAACCTGGAAATATAACCAAAGAAGTAGCCCCTAAAAATCAAGAGAAGGTATCGATTTCAAAAAAAGCTACGGCCTTAGAAGATCCTAAAAATGTTCCCATCGTGAGAAATTCTCAGTCCGAAGACAAACCAGCGAATTCAGCGAAACAATCCAATCCAGAGACCACGGGCAAAAAAAATAGCACAAAAATGCTGGAGAAAAAAGTGAAGCCTAAAAAACAGATCCCAGACAAGGCCAAGAATGCGAAAAGGTCACTGAACAAAGCTAAGAATACTAGCGCTTTAAAACCGTCATCAGAAGAGAAAACGAAAGACGAAAATTTATCTAAAGTAATTAAAGACTCCATGATATTTGTACTAGCCGATACTATGAAAAAAAAAACAGCGCCTGGGAGGAGCAGTAAAACATATTTCGGCTCAGAATGTGTTAAAGGAAGTAATAACAGTATGAAAAATAAAAATGGCACGAAAATAAATAATATTAAACGCCGCTTAGGTTCCGCAAAACGAAATAATAAATCTACCAAATCAGTCGAGAAAGTTATATTTGATAGATCACGAACAGACTCTATAAATGTTCTAAGGATTAGTAAAATAGAAAGGGAGAAGAATTTAAAAAGAAAATTTGGTAGTAAAGATGCTGATGAGAAAAAAAAAATTGCTAACCATTCACGAGCAATCAATGGAAGAGATACAACATCAAAATCTCAAAATAATTCTGTAAGGCGTGTAAAAATAGAATTACCTGTAAAAAAAGAATCTAAAGCCAAAAAGAATATTAAACGACAGTCTGATGGTAAAGAATTGAGAACCAGTCCACCGAAAGACAGTACTGAATTAAACAGCTCCATGTTACGTCCGAAAACTGAAAAAAAAGAAACGGACAATGGCAGAAAAGGGAGCAAAAGTGATGTGAAAAACAATGACTCGGATGACGTATTACATAAATCCTTAAATCCACAGGAATTGATATTCATGATGTCGGATAGTGACAGTTCGTTCAAAACAGCTTTAAGTCTGTCAGACGATGAAACAATGTCATATGAAGAAAGCGACATTGCTGAGGACGAAAATGACCTTATGTTTCAATGTTCATCCTTCAAACACCTCATCGAAGAAGAAAGAATAAACACCAACTCAATAAAACGGTACACAAAAAGAAATAAATATTGTGAATAATTTATAATATTTCTCTCACAGGGAAATCCCATATTACCGTTAAAGACTAATTCCAGTTTCAACAATGATATAAACTTAAATTTTATGTTTTTAACTCATTTAGGGAGCTGAATACGGCATACAAAATACTGCACTTCAACAAAACATTTTCTTCTTATTCCGAAATAAGAACCATAATGTAATAATTCCACATTGCCCTGAGAATGTTTAGATCTTGAGTATCCGCAACACCAAGCGTGCTTAGAAGGGGGTTTCATGGCGCAAATTGCGCCATCAAAATTTTTGAGGGGTGCATATTTTGACGGGTTTTGAATTTTCGAGGGGGACAAATTTCGACAGGGATTATGAATTTTCAGACTAAGGAACAAGGGGGGAAACATAGAACAAACCGCAGCCAATGTAATTGTATATGCTTTTTCTAATTCTACCTTCGCTGGCTTTGTTTTCAGAAAATTTCAGCAATAAAATATCTTGGGAGGAGGGGGGGTGTACGTTCTTGCGCCATCGACCTTGGAGGGGGGGATGAGCACCTCTGTGCAACACCGCCATAAAATTCACCATCTTCAGACTGTTAGCTGTCGATAATCCATTTGTCACAACCTAATTCCACACCTGATACATAATATGTTTGGAATGATTTTATCTTGAATACTCGCATTGTGATCCAGATGACAGAGCGCCGTCCCGTTTAGCCGCTCCTATCTAAAAAAAAAAACAACCAACCATTGCTTTAAAACCAGTAGAGATAGTTTTTATATTTATATATGCTTGATTGAGCTGCGTTTTATAATTATGATTTTTTTTAATCTAAAAATATAATTCAAATTTTCCTACTCCTCAAATATTTCCATGCCAGGCACGTTGTCTGACCTACCTGTGCGTGAATCTATCATTTTATTGGCCGCCGATAATGACCTGTTTAGGCATCTAATCCGCCGAGACAGTTTTTATTCAGTTATTCAGGCGCACTTGGTCATGTAATCGTAATGTATATCTAATTTATTGAGGGTGAAACCGTTGAATTATACTTATACGTTCCTCAGTAATAAATAAAGGAAATAAAAAGTATATATATTGGATTAAATTATTATACTAATACTAGGAATGGACGCAGACTTAATAGGAGCCTGTGAATGATTGCCCTTTTAATAATAAAAGAGAGGGAGCGAAAATATCGTTTCGCCCTCTCCTCCTCAATAATTCAATGTACGGTCATTAAAATAAAAATCAATAATAAACAATCTAAATGAATGAATAAAGTGAGTAGACTAAAATCAATCAGGATAACAATAAGAGTCAATAAGTTGACTAAGGTCTAGTTGCGATATATTGTAGTTAATTTTTTATTAATATTGTTTTTATTTTTAAAAACAACCAATATCCTTATCCGATAGGTAATAAATACATAACCTCAAGGGAATATTTCAACTCCCTCTTAATCATACACAATTAAAAGAAAATAATCGTTTTTGAAATATATTGATATGATAATATTTGTTTTGTTAATATATTTTGAAATATATCTATTCGAGGTAAAAAAAATGTTACAAATAAATTAAATATTTATATAAATTTATTCATTAATAGATAGTATTATATACTTATAATGTTTATATATAATATATCCTTCATTTTGAGGGGTCTTCAGCTTGAAAGTTTTTTTTTTTTCATATGTAAATAACGGTAACTACTTTTGAAAAAAAAGAAAGATACTATCTACATATATGAAATAGTGTTTGAGTGATTCTTAAAGTCCTATTAAATGTAATTACACGAACAATATTTTGTTACCATAAAACATGGTTACATTTTACCATTTTTGGGGAGGGAGGGAGGGAGGGAGAGGAGTGCTCCAGCACGAAATCCTTCTCCCCTCCCCAGTAGATCCGCCTGTGATGTAATCTCTCGGAACTTTTTCTCCATCTAGAGATACCCATAAGGGGATTTCATTGCGCAAGTTGCGTCATCACAATTTTTGAGGGAGGCACATTTTGACGGGATTTGGAATTTTTGAGGGGAAGGGACACATTTCGACGGAGTTATGAATTTTCGGATTGAAAAGTTTCAAACAACGAGACAAAGGGAATATATGGAACAAACCGTAGCAAGTGCAATTGTATATGATTTATGGTACTTTAATTTCTAATGTTTTTAAGAAGAGGAGGAGAGCAATGGGAGGGTAGGAGGTAGGAGGGAGAAGATTCGTGAGCCATCGACCTTGGGGGAATGGGCACCCCTGGGTCCCATCCCCCTTCTCCTTTCAATCAAAATGGAAAGTGTGCGCCTATGTTAATAAAGTTAGTACGATTAAAATAATATTAATGTATACCTGAGCTAGACCTTCTGTAGGTATCTATCCTTCTTCATCCTAATGCATTTAAACAATAACGATGTTAGAATACATTTGTATACATTCATATAAAAAATATATTATCAAGAAAGTCTATTCAACATACCACTAGTGAATCCAGGATTGAATTTTGGGGGGAGGCTTCAGCCCGAAAGCTGTTCTTTCAAATATAGATATATATAATTAATTTGAAAAAAAAAAAACTACGTAGTTGGAAGAATAACCAAATATTCTTCTCTTCATTAATTATATTTTACCATTTTTGGATGGGCTTCAGCCCGAAAGCCTCCCTCTTCCCCTCTCCTCCTCGTAGATCCGCCAGTGCAACACAAATTGGTGTGGTTTGATTCTTTATAATGATTATGATGAAGTAACAGTTTACTTAATAGGTGAAGCTTGCTATTCAGCTGTCAATATCTCTTCAGTATATGCTTTCCAGTATTGTGCTAATTGAGACTATAGGGTTGATGAAGAACAGCAGGATTCTTGGTTTGTAGTTCTCTCACTTACTAAGAGTAGAGTATATAACCCAGACTTGGATAATAATTTCGCCACCATTATGGTGATATCAAAAACAATAAAAATTTTTCATTAAAAATATTTTAGAATTTATTTATATAATATCCAACGTACTCAAGGAGTTTTAGAACCATTCTCCTTTGTATGCCGATTCGAAAGATTTTTATTCTGATAAACAATAGGCAAAAAAAGTATTCCTACATCCCGCTTTTTGGCCAAAATGGCTCAGTATAATTTTTTTTTAACTTGAAACAACAGCAGATATCAATTACAAACTTCGTTTTGCATTAATTTTATTATGTAATGCCAAAATTTAAAACCTCTTATAACTTTTATAAAATTAATATTTCAATAATTTGTACACAAAAAAGTTTAAAATAATTAAATAAATAAGTTAAAAAGAACAAATGTTAATGATACTATAATTTATGTTATTAAAACAGTGTTTTAACGTTCTATTTATAACCCGTTACTCGAGAAGATTAAATGATAAAACTGCACGAGAAATGTCTTGTTTAGTTCAGTACTACAAAATATTTCTTCGGCTATGGGTCGTAGGTCCAAATAACTGAATTCCCATCTTAAAGATTACGTAAACCATTTTCAACATGGTTAAAGTTTGCGGTATATTGGAAAAAGTTAATAAATAAATCCCGCCCATGGAGAAAACTCTTGTTGAAAGTGCAAAAATCTCGTGAAATTGTGTTTGAAGTGGCAAAAAATTCCAAATTAAGTGCTCCAGAGGTTTCGGCTTACATCGCGTCAGATTATGAGAAGTCTGTAATACCCCAAACTATGAGGAATCGGCTACATGAAGCTGGCTATAAAGGCAGAGCGGTAAGTAAAAAACCTTTTATAAACGAAATAAACGGAAAAAAAAGTATGCTCGAAAACATGTAAAGAAACCCTACACATTTTGAGGAAATGTATTGTTTTCGTATGAAAGCAAGTATAATATATTAGTGTCAGACGGGAAAAATAAATGTTTGGAAGAAAAAAGGAAAAGCATTTGAACTCCAAAATCTTCAACCCACAATAAAGCACAAAAGAGGCAATGTCATGGTTTGGCACTGCATGGGTGCCAAAGGAGTTGGTGAACTAGCCTTTATTGACGGGATTATGAATGCTGACAAATATTTGAATGTGTTGCGATGCAATTTAAATAAATGGGTTTGGAAGTTAGGAATGGAGAATGCATAAATGCTTTAGCAGGACAACGATCCCAAGCACAAGGGCGTAAAACCAACCTATGGTTGCTGTATAATGTTCGAAAAATTCTCAAAACACCTCCACAATCACAGGATCTTTATCCAATTGAAAATGTATGGACGCTACTGAAATTACAAATCCGGAAATATCCTTGTTCTTCTCGGAATGACTTATCAAACGATCTTAAAAAATCTTGGGAAGAAAGTGGGCCAGCGACCAAGAGGCCCGTGGAACCGATCCCAAGAAGACTCAGTCAATACTGTGATAAACGTGAAAGGGCACTCTACAAAATATTAAAATTAATTTAGATTGATATTTATTATATTTTCTTTGGGTTGGTTAAATGTATGAATATTTTTTTTTGCGCTTTATATTTGAAAATGTTGATATTTTTCATACAATATGAGTTATAAAATTTTACTTTTTTGTACAATTAATGCAAACTAAAGTTTCTAATTGTTATCTATGGTTACTTTATGTTGAAAACATAAATACAAATATTTTTGGCTAATACATATGGTGTACAAATGCTTTGTTTGGCCACTGTAGATTATAATAAATAGCAATATTTTATTTTATTTGTTTAAACTTAAACGAGGTGTGGTAATTATTCCATGTCAACCTTAGTAACAAGGTTTTCAGCAAGTATTACGATTTTCATTAAGGTCTGAGAGATTTATTACAGGTATAGATGACTGCGTTGAAATCTATAAACCCCAATCTAACCTATCCCAATCTGCCAAATTACCACCGTCAGCAGTGCCGGTCTTAGACATTCAATGACGTCATCTCTCACCTCCCCTAGAAATTTTTTTATTTATTTTTTAAGCTGTTTCATATCACGTAATAGTTGAAATTTATTTCATTCAACATTTCTCTAATACCGTTGCTTTATTCGTAGACGTTTTAATTATTTTAATAACATTATTTTTATCTCTTGCAAGTCGCGAGCGCTCCTGAAGATCGGCTGGCGCCCTTAATATGCGCCCCCCCCCCCAGGTCGGCGCCACGGGGAAATTGCCCCGTTTGCCCCACCCTAAAAACGGCGCAAGATTTCAAAATTTTGAAATCTTCAATTTTTTTAAAATGACTACAATAAATAAATGAAATTCTTTTCGTTTTAACAGCATTTGTGTCTCAATCCATCGCCTCAGATTGCTGGAAAGGGGGTATATACTACCGTTTTTTTTGTTTTTTTTTTGTTTTTTTTTAGTCCTCGCCTTTTAGACTAAAAGAGGTTTTCCCGGGCTAGGGGGTAAGGGCGGGGGATTAATGCCACAGTTAAAAGTCCCCCTTTCCCCCTACCGCCGGGACGCGAACTTGTAATTATTTTTATTTTTTGTAAATTATCTTCTATCAGGTTGCCTGGCAACGTGTTGCTGTGCACCTCGCCATATCACACTTAAATACTTACCAAAAACGTTTCTACACATCTTAAATGTGTACAATAAAGTTGTCAGTAAATTCAGAATCCTGATTAAATTCCTCTCCCTTTTCTTCATCATTATTTTTGATCTCGCAGAACTTTTAGAGTTTTATTTAGTTCATATATTTTTAAGCAAGAGTATTTATTTTTTTTAATTCAGAAAATAAAACTATTTTGAAGAAAGTTTTTGTTGTCATTTGGAGGGAAATTCCAAATAGGTTATGGCTACACTGTTATCTGTTATCATTATTTACAACTTTAAATTGGTTCGTTAAGTACAATGTTTTTGATATGAGTTTTTAACTATAGTCTCCAATAATTTTAACTATATGTTGATAATTCGTTGATTATTATTGTTCATAAGTGATACAGTCCTTGCCAAATGCCTATTGTGTTGTATTTTTGTTATAACAAATATATCTTAAATAAGTTTGTCCTCTGGAAATTAATTATTTTTAAATTATGAGTTTCGCTGACAAAGAAAATAACCATTCTTATAGTAATAAGGCTCATGATTTCCCAGTCAATAGTTCTTTTAACAACTTTAAAATAAAGGAAGAACAATGTCATGCATCATACAGTAAGGATTTTAACTATCAGAAATTTGGCTGCACTTCTCAACTTAAACCAATTCATTGGTCAACACCGAATGCGTATAGAACTAACGTTTTTAATGAATCCAGTAATAGAAGACCAATTAAACAAGAATTGTTACATGATGTATCTGGGAACACCTATGTAGTTTCACCTAGTCTGGAACACAGAAACATGGATAAGAAGAGAAAAGGTTCTAATACACCTTTAAAAAAACCCAAAATAAAAAAAGAACTTAGTAATAGTAAATTATTCATAAAACAAGAGCCAGAAGATTTTAACAACTCTCCAGGGCCAACACCTAAAGGCAGAAAAAGGAAAGTTGAAAATTCCCCAAGCTTGGTTAGAATAAAGAAAGAAAAATCATCATCCCTCAAAATTGAAAATGTAGAAGCTAAAGCAAAGTATACAGCATCAGAAGATTCTCCTGTTCCTAAGAAAAAAAAACTATGTCGATCAAAAA